ATCCAGCTCTGTATTCATTGATACATCATTTGTAAATGCAAGCAGTGTGAGTGCCTGACTTTGACCTTTTTTTTAGCCTTTTTCCGTCCCTGTACATAACCCGTGTTCCATGACTACACAGGACTACCAGGAGTTGCTGGACCACCAGGATCAAAAGGAGAAAGGGGACCACCAGGACCAAAGGGTGACAAAGGAGACAGCGTAGCAGCTGGTAAAAAGCATTTATACTTTGACTAGTTAGAGTGTCAGCTGACCCAAAAGCAATATTTCACCAATCGGCGAGTCCTTGAACGTGTGACCATAGACCCATACATTAACCAAATGCTGAATGCGATACCATTATCTGCCCACAGATAGAATTATGTACAGTATGTGTATGGGACAAGAGATTATGGTATTTAATAAGTGCAGTTGGTGGAAATTTACAGCACCTTTAGGAAACCCTACTGACACTGAAGTTCTTTGAATTCATAGCATTGTCTTAGAGAACTGCAATCCCAGTACCAAGCCACTCCTAAAATACAATATGAGAACATAGGAAGCATTTGTTGTATCATTATCCCATTCTTTATATTGAAATTGATCACAGGTCAATATCCGAGGTATGTCTAAGGACTTTTATGGTGCCAACTGGCAGGTGACACAGATTCACCCAAGCCACGGAGTCTAAGTGACAGATGGTCTTTGCCAAAGAAATGATGGTAGAGATGGGCTGGGAACCCTAGTGGTCCCAGTTTGCCTTTGCTGCAAACTGGCACCAGCTTGCTGCCCTCAGGATCGCCCCACCACAGAGGTGGCTAAAGAAGAAATACTATGATGTGGATTTAGTTCACAGGGCGGAAGACAAGAGAGTAACCAGGCAGAGTCTTTGCAGGCAGCAAACGAAGAAGCAGTCAGGTCCAGGCAGGGGTCAAGGCAGGCAGCATTTGAGACAGATGGCAGACGAGAGAGTAGTCAGGTCCAGGCAGGGGCCGAGGCTGAAGGCGAGAGAGTAGTCAGTTCCAGACAGGGGTCAAGGCAGGTGGCAGGTGAGAGAGCAGTCAAGTCTAGGCAGGGGCTAAGACAGGTGGCATACAAGAGTAGTCAAGTCTAGGCACGGGCTAAGATAGGTGGCAGACGAGAGAGTAGTCAGGTCCAGACAGGGGTCGTGACAGGTGAGATAATAGTCAGGTTTCGGCAGGGGCCGAGGCAGGCTGCAAGCGAGACAGAAGTCAATTCCGTACAGGGGTCGTGGCAGTTGAGAGAGTAGTCAGGTCCAGGCAAGGGCTGAGGTAGGCGGAAGGCAAGAGAATAGTCGGGTCAAGGCAGGTGAGAGAGTAGTCAGGTCAATCCGGGAAAAGGAAACTAACCGGTGAGTATTATAGCACTTTAGTTGAGGTAGCAGTCAAAAAGATACAACAACTGGTGCCTAAATTCCCTTCTGGGCAGGAAACATGCCCAGGGCCAGCATCAGCAATGCATACTTACCCAGGCAGATGCATGTCGTCACAGGCAGATGGCGCAGGACCAGAAATCTTGGGCAGTATTGGACGTCATGGAGATTCTGCCATTTGGCAAGGCATTGCAAACAGGTAGATGGGGACTGTAGACTGGTGGGAGTGGACAGCAGGCAGATGGGAGGGGACTGTAAATGGGTGGGAATGGAAATGCAGATAGGTAGGAAGGGACTGTAGATGGGGGAGCAGGGACTGTAGACAAGTAGGAGTGGACAGCCGGCAGATGGGGGAGGACTATAAATAGGTGGGGATGGAAATGCAGATAGGAAGGAGGGGCTGTAGAAGGGGAAGCAGGGACTGTAGACAGGTGGGAGTGGACAGCAGGCAGATGGGAGGGGACTGTGAATAGGTTGGAATGGAAATGCAGGAGGGTGGGAGGGAACTGTAGATAGGTGTGAAAGGACTGCAGGCAGGTGGGAAGGGAATGCAAAATAGTGGGTGGGGTGGAAAAGGCTGCAGACTGAGGGCAGGAAATTGCAGGAACGTGTGAGGGGACTGCAGATGGATGGGAGGGTATTTTCCTCATAACGATTAGGAAATACTCATAAGAAACTCCTCACCATTTAATCCCAAGCAGGGTGAATTGGAGGACTTCCAGAAAGGGTTTGTTTAGTGACTTTGCATATAGTTTCTTTGTTCATTTTGTAAAGTTAAATAGTTGCTCAGGTAGAATTAGATACCTGTCCACCATGATAAAAACAATTCCCTCAACCCATAATGGATCCAGGGGAAGACAAAAAAATCCCTATAAAGTGTGATCCTGAGGGGTAAATATTCCTCCTGATGTCTCAAGGTGATTGGATACATCCCAGATTGACATTCTACAATATAGCTCCAGTATTACTGTACTTATAGTTTGTGCACTTAGATATACATCTGGCACTTTCAGAAGCGATCTACTGGTTGTTATAGTCAGGACCAAAAATTACAAAATAGGCTCTAATTAGGTAAATACAAAGTAAAGACATTGCGTTGCCTGTGAGGTGGTGAACTCGTATGAACCTCTATTCTTCCTTAGCGCTCGAAGATCTGAAAAAGCAAATCTCTACTTTGGAGAGACGAATGAGAGATCTACAATCACTTGTGGAGAAGCAGAGAAAGGGTAAGCTAAATGCTTTCATTTTTGGATGTGGATACATTACATAGGAAAATGTTCAAAGACACCTGACCATCACACCCCTATGAGCTTGATGGACATCCCATTCCAAAACCATGGTCATTAATATGAAGTCACCCCCTCCCCACCCCCCTTTTCAAAGATTTTGGAGTATGTCAGTGGGCTTTTGTGGCCATTTAGCCAAAAAAAGCTGTTGAGAGGTCAGGTACTGATGTTGGATGAGAAGACCTGGCATTCCAAAGGTCTTCAGAAGGGTTGAGGTTAGGGCTCAGGTCAGGACACTTAAGTTCCTCCACACCAAACTGGTCACACCATGGCTTTATGGGGCTGGCTTTGTACACAGGGGACAGTCATGGTAGAACAGAAAAGGGTCTTTACCAAACTGTTACCATAAGGTTGGAAGAGCACAATGGTCTACAATGTCTTTGTATGCTGTAGGACCCTTCACCTGAACTCAATTATTTAGAGCTGTGTTCATAAACATTTGCCCATATAGTGCATCTCATGTGGCACACTGGACAGGAACAAGGAAAACCAAAAAGGCTGTAAAAGAATAGCATTTCTTAGTCATCTATCATCCATCTCCCCATAGCCACAGTAATAAAACTTGGAGATGTGCCCCCGACAAAGGGACTGCGGTTGCATGAATAGCTACAATGACCTATGGCATCCCAACGTTCAGACTCCAAGTTCCAAATTCTTATACCCTGCCTACCCCTCCCACCTCTCTTGTTGTTTAGTAGCCTAGATCCATAACACATTTCATGCTACTAGCATCCCCCCACTTCCTTGGTGCCTCCCAATGTGGTGTTTGTAGCATCATCCCGAGGACATGCTCTAATAAGACTTGGTTGGTCCACAGTGCTCTATACTGCATGTTCTTGATGCTGTCATCTTGTCATATATCCTCATGTATGAGATGTGTACAAGCACTACTTCTTTTTTGGAAAAAAAACTAAAACTTGATGATTTACCATAAAGACAGCTAAACATGATGTTCAATTTTTTTAGTTTACAACTCTACTCCAGTACGCCAGCCAGGGCTGGATTTCCCACAAGGCCAACCAAGGCCCAGTCTTGGGGCAGGAGGGAGTAGAGGGGCAGCAGGGATGTGGAATTCCTATCCCCCGATGCCTGGGACATGCAGTTCTGGGTGCCGGGCGGGTAGTTGTTTTCTACGTTTAGCCCTGCTTTGGGCAAGCAGAGCTAAATGTACAGCGGGGAAGCCGCCGCTTGTTTTGTACAAGTGATCTTGGTGGTTTTGCCGAGATCACTTGTATGAAGCCTGCAGGTCTGCCATTCTCAATGCGGGTAGGGGGGCGCATTGAGGAACCTGGCCTTGGGGCAGCAGAGAGAGCAAATCCGGCCCTGACGCCAGCCAGAATTTGCTTCATAGTTGAGCATGGAGAGATCGGAGCCTCGGGTTATGTTGTTGTAGACTCCATTGAAGAGTCTTCCCCTCTGTGGGTCTCTGTGTTAACTCTGTGATAAGAGGGGAAGTGGGAACAAGGATGTTTCCGTTTCTGTCTTGACCCCATTTGAGAGATTGCCATCACTTCCTGTCCTTCTGAGAGGTAGTGAAAGGAAATTTCCCCAATGGAGTCACAGAGTGCAATATATAGCACTTTTATATTCCGCAGTACATCGGCCCTTGCGATGAACTGGGAGGTTGAAGCATATTAGCAGTGTAGCCAATGGTTTGAAAGAGCGTAATAAGTAGGCATTTTATATACATTATATATGCATGTTATCTTGTGTTAATTTCCTACACAATGGATACTCCCAAATTACCCATCGGTGTAAAACCACTTGTACATTTTAACATATCAAGGTGCCCAAGGGTTGAGATCTGCCAGGCATATTAGCATGCTAAACAAGCAAATTCCTTGTATTTACACTAGTTTCAGAGAAACCCAATTACAATTCTATTCACGTCTGAGTGGCAATTATATATACTTTCGGCTAATCATATTTCCTCCAATCTTCCCACCATATTATTAAATAGATGCATTTTTTTAAATATGGGCCTTGGGATTTCTTACAGGAATGCCCTTTGATCGAGCCGTTCTGGCAATCGATCTCACACATATACTCCAAGGTGAATGCCACAGCTGTGATCTCTTCTTCCGGGCTACTGGTTCAACACCGTGACCATTATGAAGCCTTTTCGGCACGATGGAGACCGTGGCTGTTATTCCCTGAGTCGGAGGATTGCATAGCCCTGACCTAAGCTTTCTTTCTATATTATATTTGTATTAGCTTCCCCTTATAGATCCTAAAGTTGAAATATTTTATCTATCTCAAATTTTTGCGCAACCTTTTAGTCACTGGATACAGCGCACACGGGGTCACAGGAGGGCTGTACGGGGTCTCAGGAGGGCTGTGCAAGTTTTATGGTGAGCTGTGTGGGGTCTATGGTAGGCTGTGCAGGGTCTCAAGAGGACTGTGCATAGTCCCTTTCCCTGCATACATGTGCTGCTCCTCTTACCTGCAGCCCGAAGTGCCATCAGTACCAACAGGATACATTGCAGTCCCCAGCCTGCTTTTGGGACATCCCGCACATCAGATCACATGCTATGGCCAGCCCCGAGCTACCTGCTGCTTCTCCACCATCTCCTGTACAAAGCCAGCCGGACCATATCTCACTGGACCCTCCCCTCCACCGGGCAGCTCTCTAATAAGGCAGCCACTCTCAGGGCCTTGCGGCCCGCCCAGTTTACCTTTTTAGGCAGCCACCGCTGCCTGATTCTGTGCCGCCTAGCCTCGGCCCACTAGGCAAGTGCCCAGTATGCCCAAAGGCAACTCCGGCCCTGTCCACCTCCCTGGAAAGTGCCGCCCTAGGCAAATGCCTAGTTTGCCTTGCGATAGATACACCCCTGTGTGTACCTGGGCGTCCTGTCGAGGTCTGCCCTGTCAGGTCCATGGAAGGTAGTGGAATACGAGCTTCCGTTGTGGAGAACCTGGAAATGTTGGAGTGTTGTTGTTGTAGATGTTTTTTGTGTTACGGATTTGTTTCTGTATACACTTCTTAAAACAAGTAAAATTGTATTTTGTCACTCTCATTAACACACTCTGATCCAGACCTTGTCAACTCTTTTCTACTTTTAACTCTCTACTATGTCCTCCACCACCACCACCCACTAACTCACTCACTGCCCAGGACATTGGCATTCATTTACAAAACAAAATAGATACGGGATCAGATCACCATTGTGCAGTCACCTTCCCCTATTCATGTGCCAGACCCTCCCTCACACTTGTTACTCTCCTCTTTTGACCCCGGTCACCACAGAGGAGGTTACAAAGCTTCTCTCTGACACCCACCTCACCACTTGCCCCCTGGACCCTGTTCCCTCACCACTACTTCGGTCACCCTCTTGCTCCATCCTAGACTCACATTTTTAATCTTTCACTCTCTACTGACATCTTTCCCTCCCCACTAAAGCATGCCCTGGTCACCCCAATACCCAAACAAACATAAATGGACCCTACTGACCTTAACAATCTCAGACCAATCTCCTTACTCTCATTCACCTGCAAACTCATAGAATGCCTTATCTACAACCGCCTAAGCCGCCACCTCACTGATAACAACCTTCTCGATCCCTTACAGTCTGGCTTTCACCCGCTACACTCCACTGAAACTGCCCTCCTAAAACTCACTAATTACTTACTAACAGCTAAACACAATGGCCACTATTCCTTACTCTGACCCCCTGTGCTACTCCTTACTCTGACCACCCACTACTCCTTACTCTGACCACCCACTACTCCTTAATCTGACCACCCACTACTCCTCACTCTGACCACCCACTACTCCTTACTCTGACTACCCACTACTCCTTACTCTGACCACCCACTACTCCTCACTCTTGCTATTAGACCTTTCTGCTGCTTTTGACACTGTTGACCACCTGCTCCTCCTCAAAAAACCCTACTCGCTTGGCCTACAAGACTCTGCTCTCTCATGGTTCTCCTCCTACCTAGCTATGTGCTAAGGGTGTCCTTGGGAGCCTTCTGGATACAACGCAGTCTATGAGCAATTTTGTAAACAGGATGCATGCAAGTTGCAGAGACTCCTGCAAGTCAGAATAACTTGCTACGGTCTGAACAGGATTAACAGCCAGGTGGAGTTGTAGCTTCGTGTCAGTCTCTTGGTGGAGTTGAGAAGCAAGGGTTAACAGCCAGGTGGAGTTGTAGCAACATAGTCAGTGTATCTTGCTCGAGACAAAGCAAGGCAAGGTTAACAGGCAGGTGAGGTTTCAGCTAAATGAGTGTCTCTCTGATGTGGAAACACAGTAATGCAAGGCAGCTTTACAGCTTCAAGTAAGGAGATAGTTTCCAGGGTGGAGAGCAGTTAAAACTGCTGTTGAGAGAAGTTCAGCTATAGCAGTCAATTGCCGGCGTTCATTCCTTTGCTCGAACACTGTGCAAATGAATTGCAAGGCTTAAACCACATAGGAAGGAGGAGCTGTGTGATGTCATCGTCGGGGAGCTGGCGCTCCACATCGATTACAAGACAACGGACAGGTGAGTATATTACATCCACTGGCTTCCATCCCCTACCCCTCTCTGCCAATCCCTGCACTGGCTTGCATCCCCCACCCCCCTCTACCGTCCCCTCCGCTCTTCACAGGACCTCCTGCTTTCCAGCTCCCTCATCAACTCCTCCCATGTTCGCCTCCAAGACTTCACTAGAGTCTCTCCCATCCTATGGAACTCTCTACCCCAACCACTGACTGCCTTTCGGCGATCCCTTAAGACTCATCTCTTCAGGGAAGCCTATCCCACCTCAACCTAACCACTCAACCATCACGTTCTCAAACAATTCATCCCCACACAGCTACCTCCTCATGTATCACTTGCCGCTCCCTTTTAGATAGTAAGCCCTCTGGGGCAGGGCCCTCCTTACCATCTTGTCTTGAATTGTATTGTGATTGTAATGTCTTCCTTATATTGTAAAGCGCTGCGCAAACTGTTGGCACTATATAAATCCTGTATAATAATAATTGTGCAGAAAAAAAAAGGTCTCATGATAAAAATATTTGATATCCTTCTCCCTTGTTTCAGCTTTTGCATTTTCAAAAGAAACCTCTAGAAGCGGCAACAAAATCTACGTTTCAAACGGTGTTGAAGCCACGTATCCCGAAGCCAAAGTCAGTTGTGCCTCAGCCGGAGGTCAGCTGGCCACACCACGGACCTCAGAAGAAAACCAAGCCATCTTCTCCATCAGCCGTAACCTCAAAAAGCATGCGTTCATGGGTATAACCGACATGCAGACAGAAGGTGTTTTTAGATACCCGTCCGGGGAAACCATCACTTACTCCAACTGGGGCCCAAGTGAACCTAACAATACTAATGGCGTTGAGGACTGCGTGGAAATCAGGGAAACCGGAAAGTGGAACGACGAGAACTGCTCATCTAAGCGCTTTTATATCTGCGAGTTTTGAATCGGTACAAATGAGTTGATTCTTTGTAGCCGTGCACCTCTTCTATTCCTTTTATATTCCTTTTCCTATTCCATCAATTCCAAAATCACCAACTTTTGAAGGCCCCGAAGGCTTTGATTCTCTTGTGGGCCTCCCATTAACTCCCATGAATACATTTCTCCTGAATAACATTAAATGTACCTGACTAAATAAAAATGTCCTCTGGCTTGCAGTTTATCATCGTCTCTCCAGTTCTTCTAAGCATGTACCTCTATCAGGAACGTTTTGGAACCCACCAAAGAGAAAAAATGGGCAGTGGCGCCGGCGGTAACCCAAAGCAACCAGTCAGAAATGATCTTCCGATAAGGCAAGCAGAGATCTGATTGGTTGCTGAGCTGATTGAACAGGACCACATTTGACCTTAGTATTACCAGGAAAATGGGTCGGTTGATGCCGGTTTACAATTTGTTAATATTTAGTTTATGTGTATGTGTCACGGCTTAACAAGGGGTATGGGGCCAGACGATGTACGAGCACGCCAAAGTTCCCCAATCTGGACACAAGTAGTGGCCCAAAGACAACACGTACATACTACTCAAGCTACCACCACCCATAAATCACAGGCTTGTGAGGAACCTTGCTCGAGATACCTAGTCAGTACATTCTGCCCTCACTAGACATTACAGGTTGGTTAAACCAGGCAATATTACTTGTAGAGTTAAGTCTATTTTAGGTGCTGTCTTTAAGGCATCTCTCAATTCCTCCTTGAGACTAAAAGTAGTGTTGATAATCTTCTCTTCTGGAATGATGCAAGTAGGAGAGTTTTGAAAACTGTGAGACTCATCAATTCTGGACAGGGCATCGGCCTTCCCATTCTTTGACCCTGGTCTGTAGGTGATAATAAAATTAAATCTGTTGAAAAACAGAGCCCATCTGATCTGCCTGGAGGTTAAGGTTTTATTTTTCTGAATATATTGCAGGTTTTGATGATCGGAGAAGATGATGATAGGTAGATTAGTTCCTTCTAGGAGATGTCTCCAATTCTCTAAAGCACATTTGATTGCTAGCAATTCCTTTTCCCCGATGGGATAGTTGATTTCTGCTGTATTGAGCGAGCGGGAGAAGAATGCGACTGGGTGAAGAGGACTTACAGCGGACTCTTTTTCTGACAATATAGCTCCTACTGCCAAATGGGATGCATCAACTTCTAGAGTATACTGAAGTTGAGGATCTGGAAGTCTGAGGATGGGAGCAGTAGTAAAGCGGATC